GTACACTTGTTGCTCCACCTTGGACCCTTGGTGAACAGCAGTCTGGTACAAGCAGCTTGACATCATTATGGAGTTGCTGGAAACTTTGTTCTCAATGACTGTTCTCCAGACATGATCTGGTGCAGTTTGGAAACACTTTGGAAACCTGAAATATATCTACTATGCTCTCTCCATGCTGGAGAACTGGAAGAGAGGCCTCTCTTGCTGAAGCAGGACTGCAGCAGAGTTGGAGACAATAAATGTTTCAAGGCCGTGAAGGTATCTTGTGCTATAAGTTGGAAAGTGGATGTAATTGCTGAGTGAACAGAAACAATCTGTGGTACATCAAGCCTTTACTTGAAAGCCACTAGGCAAGAGAGTCTCCAAGTTGCCATGGCCTCTTTGACTTACAGGCACTTGGAGATGATGACTAGATCTGGAAATTGACTCACTTCTGTCACTCCAGGTAAGGAAGCCTTTTCTGGGCCCTTCTCGGTTCTGTTTTAGTTCTTGGCTTGTGCTGTCTGAACAGAACCACCAGGACTTCAGCCTTTTGACAAAGGAGAAGTTAAGTTTTGTAGGTGTGCCTTCTGTTGTGCCTCTGGCTACAAAAGTGTTTGAGTATGGGTGTACCTGAGGAGTGAACAGAGATGTGCTTCCCTGGCCTGCTCTTGTCTCCTCTGATCTTATTGAGTGCCATCATTTCACACAGAAGAATGCTTTTTTTTTTTTTCCTTCTCCCATTTCCCCAAATGTAGGACACTCCCATGGAAACTATACTTGCAAAACAAGTACACAGACACAGAGAAAGTTTCAATCCTGAGGCTTCATTAAAAATGAATTACTGAAGCTGGATGGAATACGTAGCCACATTCCTTCCCATCTCCAGCTGTCACGTGGTGAATCTCAGCTCCTGGATCAAGGTTTACAACATTGAACTTCAGCTTGGACTAGCATGATCCTAATGCTTCCTGGGTCACTGCCACATCCAGTTTACAATTCCAATGGCTTTTGTGTGTAATAACAGTATCAGGATATACTTAGTGAAAAAGATGCTTCAGCTTTCCAGTCCGAGAGAGCCTGTGAATTGAATAATGCTGAGAAATTACTTATAATATGAATATAAACAATGACCACTGGGGCAGTTCTTGCTTTCTCCTCTTGTTGAATCAGGGGGTTCAGTCTCTGGGAGCAGATCTGGACCAGACTGTTTTTTCTCCTCTTGGAAATAGCAGCAAGGAATATGCATAATCACATGTACCCGTGTCCAAGCTTGCCTTGTTTCTTGAAGGTCAATGACTGGTGGGGGTTTGGTTTTGTTCCAGCGTATTTCAAAAGAAGCTTGTACTTTCCCTTAAGACAAGTTTTCATAAATAATTTGATGGGAACAAAGTCCTAGGTTGTTAGAGGCCACGGATAACCTCAGAAATGGACATGAATGCTGGTTTATTGCTTTCACAGCAATAAACTGGTAAGAGCAGAGCAAACAGCGGTTATGTATTTTATGCAAATGATGTGTTTGAATCTTTGACTTGGATGTTGTAATTCTTGTGAGCAATTCCAGCAGTCACTGGTGGTAGTCCTGGTTTCACCTGAGGTTTCAGCCATCTTTGCTTCCCCTTGATCTTTCAGATGTTTTGCTGGAAATCGCAAAGAAACAGAGCCCTTGTAGGCAGCCCTCCCGGCAAGATGTCCACCTTGCTTTTGGACAGGCAAACGCATTCTTTTGTCATTTGACAGTTGTTTCAGCAGTTAACAGAAGGTATAATTAGGTGGTACACCAGGTAGGAGACATGCTGTCAACATGGGATGATGGAACTCCATGGATTAGAGCTTCCTTCAGGAAAGAGTTGTGGAAAAGATGGGTGTCGTGCATCCTAGCAGCTGCTAACAACAGTAAAGTATTGCCAGTGGTCCACAGCAGGCAAAAATGAAAATGAAAAAATTAAATGCTAATGATACTTTTGATGTAGTACTGGGAGAAGAGAATGAAGAGGAAAATGGAGAAAAAAATGAGAAAAAGAAGGGAAATAAAAAAGCATCTTATTGACCCTAACAGTTTTGGAAATGTATGTTGACACTTTCTGTGGTTTCTTGTGTCATTATCTGCACGTAGTAGTTGAGTCTTCTGAACAGTGGGCACTCCCTCCTAAGCAACTGACTTTTTATCCACAAACCAGGTGTGAAACAGTAACCTCTGATCCTCAGCACTTCATTAGCAAAACCCTCAGCTTCCTCCTTCGGCGTCGTTCTCAAACGGATAATCTTCCTTACTGCCCAACACAAACTTCCCATCTTGAAGGTCTCTGCAGTTTCCTGCATTTTCAGCATAAATGTCTGCCAGGAGTAATTGTTCTTCCTCTGGATGCAGACATGGAGTAAGATGGCTTTCTGAGCCTCTGCAGCTCTCTCACTAGGAAAGAGCTAGAAAGGAGCTTTATGTGCTACATTTCTTGTAGATTTATATCGTGTGGTGTTAGATACTTGGAAATGCAGCTCCATTCTGATGTTGAGGAGTTAGATTTGAAGAAGCAAATGCAGCCTGGGAACCCAGCAGTGTAAAGGAGCAAATGTTCTCCTAGAAGAGCAGTGTTTAAGCGGTGACAAGCCCCAAGCAGAGCTCTGGTACCACAGGGGAGTTGCAGCAGAGTTGACTTCCCAACGCACTTAAGGTAAAGCTGCAGTAGATGAGGTGCAGCACAGCATATAATGCCATATAACATGTTCATGACATGGTGGCATGAACTCTGTTCCCTGTCTAAATATAATTGCATGCCTGAGCCAGAAGTTTTCCCAATTGGCAGGTGAATGGGGACTGCACACAATGCATATTGATCATTATGAATATGCAGCCTGAATTTTTGTGCAGCTTGGCTTGAAGTGGTTTAGAGTGTGGACAACCTCTCACTGTAGGAAATGAATGGTTTTGGTGTGAGAACCTCCATGCTTTTTTTTTTTTAATGACAAATGTAGATGAGAAAAAAATGTTTGTTACCCTGCTGCTTTTGTATTCTGATCATCACTTGGCCCTGCAGCATGCTTGGTGTATTGTGCTCCTATTAATAACATTATTATGGCCCACCCTTTGTTTTTTTTCTGTAACTTCATCCTGACCATTTTCTTCACCTGGATGCGGCTTTGCTTTCCTGAAGGGGTGCTTACTTCATAGTCTCCATTCCACTAACCTGTAGTCGTGCTGGTTTCCTTTCACTCATTCTGTGATCTTTTTGCTGTTAGGTAATGTTTATTCTATGCTGCTCCTATGTTGTCTTGAAGCTGTCTCCACGCTACCTGTTAGGATTGAATTTGCTTGGTTGCCTCTTTACTACTTTTTATCAAGCTTCCTTATCTGTGTAATTCCCCTTTCTACAGCTGAATGCAACTGTGGATTTTTTTGTTGTTGTTGTTCCTACAAAGTTGGTGAACTTTGTAGTTTTTCCTAAGGAGCAGATCCTTGAATGTAGTATGGTGAGCAGTGTCCCATGCACTGCTCAGGACTAAATCAAGGAGTGTATCTCCTTTCATGTACTTCCTAAGCAGCTGTACCATTGATTTGTTAGCTATGTTGGCTTTTTTCCCCTTAAGGTTTTCCTTTTTACCTAGATAGAATACCATGGTTTTAAATGAAAAACCAGGAAAGCTGCCTTTGCAGTGGCTCCTACAAGCAAACACAAACTGGTTATGCTTCTTTTGGGGGTTCACAACAACTTTGTAGTGCAAAAGGTTTCTCAGGAAAGATCTAAATCCCATATGTGAAGTATTACCTAATCTTCAACATCTTAATAATAAAGTAGTAAATAATAAATGCAAGCCTAATATTTTTCCCTTTAAAAGTATAGGGGGGAGTGGGCCTATGGTTGCCTCTTTACTACTTTTTATCAAGCTTCCTTATCTGTGTAATTCCCCTTTCTACAGCTGAATGCAACTGTGGATTTTTTTGTTGTTGTTGTTCCTACAAAGTTGGTGAACTTTGTAGTTTTTCCTAAGGAGCAGATCCTTGAATGTAGTATGGTGAGCAGTGTCCCATGCACTGCTCAGGACTAAATCAAGGAGTGTATCTCCTTTCATGTACTTCCTAAGCAGCTGTACCATTGATTTGTTAGCTATGTTGGCTTTTTTCCCCTTAAGGTTTTCCTTTTTACCTAGATAGAATACCATGGTTTTAAATGAAAAGCCAGGAAAGCTGCCTTTGCAGTGGCTCCTACAAGCAAACACAAACTGGTTATGCTTCTTTTGGGGGTTCACAACAACTTTGTAGTGCAAAAGGTTTCTCAGGAAAGATCTAAATCCCATATGTGAAGTATTACCTAATCTTCAACATCTTAATAATAAAGTAGTAAATAATAAATGCAAGCCTAATATTTTTCCCTTTGGGTTGCCTTTAAGAATATAGGGGGGAGTGGGCACACTTTTTTTTTGCCTGAGGCATTGTTTGTGTAAGCAGGTGGTTGATACATTCCACAGATCTAATGAGAGACGATTGTTCTGTTCCATTGGCTAATTACAGAGGGAGCTCTTATCTGGTACTAGCAAAAGTAGAGCATGTGTATGCATATGTATTGATTTGGTTTCTTTTCTGTTTTTTTTTTTTTTTTTTTTTCCTTATCAGGCCACTTGCATGGAGCTGCCAGAGGAGCTGCGTCAGCTGCCACGTCTCCGGAAGCTGCGAAGGGAGAAAGCCATAAAAGACTATAGAATGAATGAGGATGGTTTTTTGATCAGACCAGCCATGGAATTAAAAGAGAGAAATGATCCACACAAGGATGGAAACTACAGAGATGATGGGAAATGCTTTCCCACCGATAAAGCGGTATCTCAAATTACATCCTTCTACAATTAGGAAATCAAAATCAAGAAACCTTAAACTGACCTCAGGCTGTCTGTCTAAATCTAATTTCTGATACAGGTGACTTGCTGAGCTCAGGCTGGGTATTTGAAGACATCCAAATGAAAAATAAAAAAGCGGGGGGGGGACAACTATTCCCCATGCAGAAGTGTCAAACAAAAGTTCCCTTCTTTACAATCACAGGTAAACCCATTGTTGAATGGAAATAGTGATGGCCTTTCTTTCGAAGGAAATTCCTTCTGTGTCTGACTGTTCTTCTCAGGATCTATTTCTGAGGTCCATTTCTTTCAAGAGCTATTTTTGATTTTAAAACAAGTGTCTCTTCTTACGTTGGCATCAGACCAATGTCTTAAATTGTATTGGTTCTTTTGTTACCAGCTGCAGGTATGTAAAACTCATCCAATCCAGATACATAAACAGGGGACCTTATAAGATGCCTGTTAAGATTAGAAGATAAGATTAGAAAGGGTTTGCTTGGAAAAATGAAAAAAAAAAACCCACCTTCTGGGCAAAAAAAACCCCACCTTGGTTTATATACAGATAAGTCTTTTGGCGTAGCTACACAACAGTCTTTCATGGGGAAGTGAAAAAGGTGACACCCTAAAGAACCACTGTGTTGGCAAGAACAGCAAAGAGGTGGACAAAGTATCAGGAGTTTTCTGCCAAGTCAGAGTTATTTTAGGCTGAGAAAAGAAGCTTCCTGCTGAAAGCTGGACGCCACTGCTGTTTGTCAGCACTGCTGTATCAAACTTGTGCAGATACAGCTGTAACACGAATGTGGTGTGTAGATGGACAAGTGTGTATAAAGGAGGGGGAGAAAGCAGTTAATTTAAAAGGTGTATAGTATTCCAACCCAAGCAAAGCAAGATAGAAAGGCAAAACCAGTTTATTTCCAGTATACTTCATTTGGATGGCATACACTAAATGTAAAGCTCCTCCAACTGATAGTACAAGTCTACCACATGACAAAATTGATGCAGGCCATACCTGAATCTTGGAAAGCTTTTTTTTTTTTTGGCATATGGCTGTATCTGACTTGCAAGCACAGGACTGTTGAAAACGTTTTGCTTTTGAAATTCTAAATTTATCCACATGTATGCATTTAAATGCATAAAAAGTATGGCAATGTTTTGCCATTCTAATGCTTCAGACAGGGTGGGGAGCACCTTATTCAAGCATAAGGAAGGGTTTGTTCTCAGGGTTGTGCCTGTGACTATGGGTGGATGCTGATGAACGATGTGAAATAGGGAAGAACAGAGGAGTTAAGGGTCCCTGTCCCAGCCAGACACCCCAGTCCAGGAACAACCTGGGCCCTGGGTTGCAAGGGATGTGATGTTTCCATGTGAGTACGTACCAATTCCTGTTGGAGTTGCTTAGCTCTGGGTGTGCATTGGGGTGATGAAATGCTTATGATATATCCATGTGCATTTCTTTCCAATATTGTTAGGGATAATTTGTTAGTTTTGGGGTTTGTGGTTTTTCCCTCTCCGCAAAGAGAACTAGAACAGCAGCATTTAAATAGGTCTCTTTGAAACTACAGAACGGACTTGCTCACTTCCAGGAGGGGCAGGACTTCCAAGTTTTGTTGTCTTTACATCTTCTGCATTGTCGGTTGGGTTGTTTTTAAAAACACTTAACAGTATTCAGTGACCAAACTGTTTAGTGCTTTTGACTCAGTTCACTTTAGAATAAAAAAGGTTTGAAACAAGTTTGCCTTGCAACTTATTTGGAAAAATCAGACTGTGTTTCACTGGGTCTGGTGGTGGGACTGGAGCTCGTGTCGTTCCCTGGGAACAAGATCCCCCCAAGCCGGGATGACTTACCACAACCCGGTGAGGTGCCATGTGGAAGGCACAGCAGAGACAGCCCTGGGCTGTATTTCCAGGACTAAAATCCAGTCCTGTTAAGTAGAGAGGAAGAGAAGATGGCGGTATGAGAAGGGAAGGAGGGAGAGAAGAGGAAGTAGCATCTGAAGGCATCAACCCTGGGCTGTGAAGAGTGACCCAGGGTATCTCTGTGCAGCATACAAACTAATTGCCACGGTTCTCCAGCGCCGTCTGCGCCTTCATGATCCCCCTCAGTCACGGGGGAGAGCGGGCAGTGAGCCTTGCTGCGCTCCCGGCCCCCCTGGCAGCTCTTCTGGCCCGGCGGCCGAGAGAGGCCTGGCCGCCCTCCGTCCCTAGGGCGCTGGCCGCCATCTTTCCTTCCGCGCCCCGCCGCCCTTCCGGCGGGCTCAAGGGCGAGCGCGCGTCGCTTCCGGTCCCCACCCGCCTACCCCGCGCAAGGTATCGCGAGAGTTCGCCCCGCCTCACGCGAGAGTGGCTGGCTCACCCGGCCGATTCGCCCGAGTCCCTTCGGCAATTTCCGTCAGCGCCAGGCTCGACCAATCGGCCGCGGGAGCGCATCGATGGGAACGGGCCCCCCGCGGGTTGCCCTCGGGGACGGCGCCCGCCGCGTGGGCCCCGGGGGCCGTTCGGCGGCGGCGGCGAAGCCGGCGAGGTGGCGGGGCCGAAGCTCCGGGCCGGGGCGGCGGGAAGGTATGCTGGGCTCGATTGTTCAGGCCTGGCCATGGCGCCTCTCCTCCCCCCCGCCATGGCTCCCCGTGTCCCTGCTCCTCTCCTCTCAGTGAGCGAAAGTGGCCGCCGCCGCCGTCCCAGCGCCCGCAACCGCCGCCTCCTCCTCAGCAGCAGCGCGGGCGCCATCTTGGCGAGGCAGGAGTCGAGAGGGCCCCGCGGCAGGAGACAGGCAGCGCCGACCCCGGCAACGAGCGGCGAAGAGGCCGGTTGGAGCGAGCGGGGGAGCGAGCCTGGGGAACACCCCCAGCCCCCCGCCGCCGCCGGGCCCGCTCCCC